AAGAGTTCAGTTAATTACATGTAAAGGGACAGGACAGACTTCAAAACCTTTGCTTGGTTTCTATTTTATTTGCAACTAGGGCATGTTGATGGGACTTTGCCTGCTTAATGTTGAGTAGGAGTTTCAGAATTTTAACCCCAGGGTAAAATTTTCAAAAGCATTTAAGTGACTTGCTCCCTGAAAATCAATGGGACTTTCACTCCTTAGGGCAACATTTTAGAAAATATGTAGAAACAAAAGTCCAGTTCATTTCCATGCCTATGTATTTAAAATAAAAGCAAAAACAAACAACAAACAAACAAACAACAAAAAATGCTTGTTTGTTACCCTAAACCTCTTTTAAAAAAATGATTATTTTATTTCCATGCCACCTAAGTGGTTACAAAAATGTTACCCCAAACAAACAAGCTGTTATTCTCACAACTCTGCACTTGCAGAACCATGTTCTGTTTTTCTGTCTTCTTTAACATACACAGAAATTCATAAAACGAGGCTTGGATGATAAATAAGAAGCCTAAATAAAATCCTCCTGCAATCCTCATGAAGAGGTGGCAAATCTAATTAGTGCAGAGACTTGTTTGTAAATTTTTCAAAAATTTCAAAATAAACACAAATAATTTCCCTTTTCCAGCCTATGTCTGTTTTCTTTTTTCTCTTTCTATTTTTTTAATTTTTGATAAAAGTGATAAATTGTTTCCTCTGAAGCCAAAACCTGACCCAAATTAGTCTGCCTACATTACATATAGGAGAAAGCAGAGGGAAAAAAAAAGTGCAAAATCTTGGAGAGAGAGAGAAGAAATAAATCAGATCTAATTAGTTTCATTCTCACTAATGAAAATATATGTTGTGTTTTCTGTTTTATCTCTCCCATAAAAATTTACTGAGAAAATTAAAAAGTGCCACTTAGTTTTAGAAAAATAATAATAAAAGAGTATTCAAACAATCTCTGGTTTGAAAATTTGTGTGGGGAAGGGGTGGTGGGTATTTTGGTTCTCTAACATGTTTGCTCTATGAGCTTTCAAACTATGCTAAGCTGTTGCACAATAGCTTACAAGTTCTCAACAGTTACATTTATTACAATTTTACCTCACTTTTAGACAAGCTCTCTTATCATGCTCCAAATCACATTTTATGCTGCTTTGAAGTACGTTACTAATATGGTTATTGCTTAACAGAAAATAGCCTGACAATCATTTCTGTTTTAAGGTGCAAAGTAATAAATGTCAGTCTCCTTTTCGCAGTCATTTATCTAAGCCTGTATTTACTCTTAAAGTATCTGTCTTTGGAAACAAGTCAGAAGGCCAGTGCTGTAATGGTCTTCTCTTTGGGACTAACACTATAATACACAAAAAGTGTTTTTGCACTGTTATCTCCATGCAGCCTTCATTCTAATTCAGGCTTCTTTCTGCCACTGTTTAAACTGGTGAGGCCCAGTTATTTGTGAGAAGTAGGGAATTTCATCCTTTTTGTGCCTGGCTGGTAATCGTGGGCGTTGCAAAGAGCAGGCTCCGCGGCAGCGATCCGTTCTTGTCAGCGCCCGCCCGTCCTTTGCCTGCGGCTGGCGGAGCTGCTGGACGGTGTGTGCAGGTGCCTGCACAAAACTGCCCTTCGGGCATCACTGCACGGCCTAAGGGACCTGGAGCATGGACCTGTCAGGCTTATAAATGACTCTGGAGTCATCTATGAACAAGGGAGTTCTCTTCCGAGGCCTTGACAGAACATATGTGTTGTGTTATTCTGTGCATACGGGGGGGGAAACGTGCGGTTTTCCATCACAAAATATAGAAAAAGCAAGATGCAAGGTGTGGAAAACTGTGGATACCATTCCCTCCGGGAATACATGGAAGAGTGATGGCTGGCTTTACCACAACACCTACGATCATTCAGAAGCAAGACTGCTAAGCTACATGAGATAGACCATGCATTTATAGGCTCCAGCTGAAACTTTTTATGTAGCTCTTTCAGGATTCTTGTAACGTAGCACTTTACCCCTGGGCACGAGTACTAACTTTTAAGTTAATCTGGTAAATAGGCTTATGCCCCGTGCCCTCTCTACAGTCAACAAGTCTCCAGATATCCAAGAGAAGTCCTCACTTTCCAAAGATCTGAATGAGAAGGAGTTTGTGCTGGGCCAACAGCAGTGGAGCTCCTGTGGCTCAGGAGGACAGGTGAAATGCAGCCTCCTGTGCCCTTCACTCCGAGCATTCACCCTCAGATCTCCAGACATTCGGATAAAGGCAGTAAGCCCTGGCTGATCTTGAGTGTCATAATGGCAGATAAAGGAGAGAGAATTTATTACGTAGCTCTCAAAGCGTAGAGGGTTTTATAGATCAATAAGAACATCCTGAGTTATGCCCAGAGGCGAAAAGGAAGCCAGTACAGACTTCAAAGGATGTATGTAATATATTCCTCATGGCCAATACTACAGATTAAGTACAGAGCAATGTTCTATACAACACGCTGAATCTGACTGGAATAATGACAGGCAATACATTGTGATAGTCTGTTCTTGAGGGTACAAAGGAATGGGTAACTTAGAGCCTTCTCTTTTTTGAGAACTTGTCAGAATCATCTGACCAAAGAGAGCAAAACTCAGTGAAGCCTGAGAAGCTGTTCTGAGTTGAGTATTAAAGGACAMCTTCTGATTGTGAGCTTCATTCAGAAAGAATAACCAAATGACTGCCCAGCATCATTTCTCCCATCTGACCTCTGATCTCTTTCAGGTCAACTTAAAAAGACAAAAAAAAGGCAATTTTGTAAACTCTAGATTTGACAAAAGAAATTAGAGGTCAAATTAACTGGCAAACTTCTCAGGAACTTGGTTACTTTTCAAAGCAAGAAGGTGGAAGGTACTGACTGAAGAACAGAAAGATGTTCATGARGTGTTTGTAGTAAGTAAAAAATGCAAAAGTATTAAAAATAATGTCTACCGGCAGCTAGGGTACAGAAAAAGGAGTTAATTTGTATTACCTTGTGAGTGACAAATWCAGGCTGAACCTTTCCTTAATAAAAGCTCTAAGATGCTTGTCTAGAAATCTTCCTTCTTTAAGTGGTAAGGCAGATACATATTACCCTAAATCTGAAGGGATGATTTTCAGCTTTCATTGAAAGCTGTAACAGTTGAACTCCTTGTTGACTCAGTCCTATACATTTTCCTTACCAGATGACTATATGCCTTTTTTATTTTCCCCAAATGAAAACTAAGGTATGGTGAATAGCTGCAAAATGGCCTTTATATCTTTTAAATATATTGGTTTATTTTAGTTCAGAAACTCGACTGCAGAGGAAAGTCAAATGTATGAAGCTCTGTATAATCTGTGAACATGATAAAAGAAGCTGGATTGAACATAGGTAGTGTAGATCTTTGATTAGCTCCTACAGTAAAAAAAAAGATCAAATATTGATGGTTCTCTATTAATGGTAATCTTCTCCAATAGTTTGCTTAATGACTCTTCCATTTTATACCTGGTTTTAAAAGGAAAGTAAAATTTACATGTTTCAGAGCTTTTGTTCTTAAAAAAGATGTCCATTCGGAGCGGAAGTTGGAGTTTTGGCAGGGGTTAGGCGTGATCCCACTGCTCCATACTTTGCCCTGCTGAAAGATCTTGCTCTGCCTTGCAACATTCTTGTTATTCCAGAGCTGGGCTGGGCCAGTGGAAATAGACGCAGGCCCTGAAGTCGCTTCCCCGCACACAGCTCTGCCACCAGGCACGGGAGCTCCCCCACCTTGCCCCACTCCTGGTGCTCCCGTGTCCTTGAAGCACAGGCTGCCAGTTAGGAACAGGCTGTGAATCTGTCTCTGCTCCCGCTAAAATCCGTGGTAACCTTCTTAGGGATGCCAGAGGAAAGTGCTGCCCATAAGGACAACTGTTTATTTGGGACTAGGATGAAATCTATCTTCTGAACCACCAGGATTTTTGAACCTGACATTAAAAGTAACTAATTCATGTTCTGGTTCTTTCCTTTTTCTTTTCTTTTTTTTTTTTTTTTTTTCTCATTACTGAAGATGAAATCCAGGGTGACCTCATGGTTATCAACTCAGGCACAGTGTAAGTCAGATCAGAGTCTGATCTTTACATGATGTGGCCTTCTATGTGGTTGTGCTTTCTCCTAAGAAAATAATTTCCTGTTAATTAAGACACTATAGCTTTCAATGCAGATCACTGTTGTTTTATTTATAATTAAAATCTACAGGGCATCTTCATCATTAATGCAAACAAGCATTGGCCTGCTGACAGGAGCTCAATTTACACTAATGTTTGGGTTTGGAACATACTTTAAGTAATTTTATGGAAACTCAAATAAGGGTGGGACACCGTAAAATAATATGTCAGAATAAGGACTATTCATTCCTCTTTGTTTTCTTTTTTTTTTTCCATTACGTGAAATAATGCATTTAAAATAAAATAATGCTCTAGGCAATGTACAAATCTAAAAAAGACTACTTTGGTGAATGAGCATAGTGAGAGGGTATGAATATGAATCTGTTTGTACTAAGGAGCCTAGAGGAGTTGCTTTTTATGCYTAGTGACACAGAAAAATATACTTGTAACTCTGTACACGAGGGAGAGAATATTCCCCTAAAAAAGTATTTTCTATAGCAGTGCTCCTTGTTGATCAAAGCTGCATAATTTAAAGTATCTGGAGGCAAGTTTAAATTATTCACAGTATATTTTTTGTAACTGTTTTTGGTATATAGCAGACCGCATTGGTGCAACTTGCAGTTTTCCCTGAAAGCTCCACAACGTTTTGCATCCTTACGGAGCCGGAAAGTTTCCCCAAAGGCACATTAGGGAAGCGGGGAAGTAATTGTGTAGCAGCAGGAGCAGGAGAGGCTCCCGCTGACACCTTGCACAGAAATGCCCGGCACGCAGGGCCACCCGGCACGGCGCAGCCGCAGCCGCCGCTCGCAGCCCCAGCGCTGAGAAGTTCCCTGATACCCTCAGAGCTCCGAGCAGGGATCCTGCAATGAGTGCATCTAACTCCTCCTTTGCTGCAGCCTTCTCTCCCATTGGTAAAAGGTCTTCGCAGGCTCGTGCGGGGATCCCACCCCTTTCTGTGGCTTTTCATTCTGAAGCTGCCCACAACTTTACACCTGAATGAATGCCAAGCCTCTCCGAATATATAAGGGAAACCTTCAGGAGCAATTCAGAGTTCCCGGGAAGCAGCAGCAGCAGGAGTTTTGCGGAGCTCTGCCACACAGAGGCTGAACAACCATGCTTCTCGCTGCCCTGCACTTCTACGCCTTCCTCCTCACTTGCATCTTCAGCGAGAGCTACTTGGCTTTCAAGAACGATGCCACAGAGATACTTTATTCACACGTTGTTAAACCGGCTCCGGCGAGCCCGAGCAGCAACAGCACGTTGAACCAAGCCAGGAACGGAGGCAGGCACTACGCCAGCGCCGGGGCCGACCGTAACAGTGAGTATCGCAGCGGGGCCCTGGCTGCCACCGCCGGCCGCGGGGCCGGGGAAAGGCCGCGCTGTCCCCGCGTGCCCGGCAGCAGCGGCTCCCGGGAMGCTATCCCTGTGCCCGGATCCAGGCTGGCTGCTTCCCACAGGGGGTCCCGCCACCAGCGCTGGCTCCACCACTGGGCTTGTCCATCAGGGATGGATAGGTGAGGAAAAGCAGGGAGAGGCACGCGGAGGAGTCCAGGCAGCTTCTCCAGCGCAGCGAAAAGCTCTGGATTTTGTTCCCTCTGTTTTGCTTTACTTCCTGATGTAGACTTACCTGCTTAGCCCCTCCAGCAAAAGTAAACAAATCAGCTCATAATTTACCTATGAGCTCTGCTCTGACATGCCTGTATATATCTCATCTTTTCCTGATGAGCTGTATGTATATATGTGAGGCACGGGGGGATCGGGAAGCCTTCTGCTGACTTTATCTGCTCCCTCCCCTGCCTGCCTGCTTAAAATGAAAGAAATCCAAACACACCACAGAGACACACACGCGCGAACCCACCCACAACGGCTCGATAAAAATAGCAGCATCCCTGGAAAGTGAAGGCAAAAAGTGACACGGATACCTTGCAGCCAAGCCAGGTGTGTCAGCGCATATGAATGTGGCGGGTTTAAGTGCACAGGAAACATCTCGTCACGGGGAGATTACTGGAGCAGCCCAGTAGGTATTTACTCGTTGTCAGTGAGCTGTCACCAGAGACGAGCTGAGCCGGGGCAGACATGCAAACAGAAGGAGAGACACACTCGGATCTGCCCCCAGCTGCTTCCAGGTACATTCCTGAGCGCAGCTGCAGGAAGGCGGACTTGAGTCTTCCCTGCAAGTCAGKCAGAAGACCAACTCTTCTGCAAACACCCCCTCAGATCAGCTTGCAGATTTACAGTCTCTCCTGATTGCCTTTCTTGAGACACAAGGCACAGGGTGAAGCTCTAATCTTAASCCGTTGTCTGTTCAGAACTTACTTCCAAAAAGTCCAAGTAGAAACAGAAGCAGCCTGTAGCTGTGATATGCAGATGCACCTTCAAAGTCTTTCATGATTCACTCGAAAATGTTTCTAGTAATTACTTCTATTTTAGAGGCATTAGTTAATTGCATTGTATGTGGAATCTGCACCGTAATTGTCCTTCAGAAAGAGGCAGAGCAGAGCCAGTAAAGTTGCTTATTAAAATTAAGCGCACTGTGGGCGTTTATTTCAAAGTGTAATTACTGAAATAAACAGTGGTGTTTATTGCAGGGCGCAGAGCTGCGCATACGGACGGGTACCAACATGCCCGCGTCAGGAGCTCTGCATTTTGGTTCTGTGTCAGTTGCCCGAGAGCGTTTGCAGGATCCTCTGTGTTTTGTGCAATATAAAGATTACTACAGATACAAAGGTGGTCTTACCCCGAGGGTAAAACGGCCACTCTCAGTTTGTTATTGCTGATCATTCAAACTTGGCATGTGGAACACCATTCACTGGTAACTTTAGCTGTGATCACTTCCACAACATCTGTGTGYAGAGTAGTGCTCACGGGAGATTGTCCACTGTAGCTGTGGAATGGGAAAAAAAAGACTATTTTTAAATTCCTTTAAAAGCATATTAATAGTTTCCAAAGAACTATTTCCACCTTGCTAATGATCCCATATAATTGTTGTAAACATTGCAGAGCAAGTTCCCTAGAACAAGCAGGAAACATTTCTTCCCTCGGGGCATTTTTTTCCTTTTCTAAAAGGTATGTCCTAGAGAAGAAGCAGAGAGGATAAAAGTGCCTCCTCCACCACAACTGCTGAAGTGCCTGTCATAACACCCAGAGACACCRTCCGTGCTCAAGGCCCCGGGGTTGGGGCACATCAGTAAAAAGATGATGTCCTGTGGAATTACCGCCTACTTTGCATTCTGCACAACGCAGCTTGTTAATGTGGCAGTAACTGGCTGAGGAAACGCTTTCCTTCTGCATCTCAGGGTTTGTTGTTCTGTGCCTCCTGCAGGTCGCGTTCAAGTTGGCTGCCGGGAGCTGAGGTCCACCAAGTACATTTCGGACGGCCAGTGCACGAGCATCAACCCGCTGAAGGAGCTGGTGTGCGCGGGCGAGTGCCTCCCTCTGCCGCTGCTCCCCAACTGGATTGGCGGAGGCTACGGAACCAAGTACTGGAGCAGGCGGAGCTCGCAGGAGTGGAGATGCGTCAATGACAAAACCCGCACCCAGCGCATCCAGCTGCAGTGCCAGGATGGAAGTATAAGAACCTACAAAATAACCGTGGTCACGGCCTGCAAGTGCAAGCGCTATACCAGGCAGCACAACGAGTCCAGCCACAACTTTGAGGGAACCTCTCAGGCAAAGCCCGCCCAGCATCACAAGGAGAGAAAAAGAGCCAGTAAATCCAGCAAGCACAGTACAAGTTAGAAGTCAGATGTTCTCTCCTCTCTCGCCTCCCTCTCCTCCTGCCAAAACTGTATCCACCTGTATCCATCTGCTTTACAGATCTGACTGCCTAAAGACAAGTCTGCCATTGCTGTGTTCGCAGCTGACACTATGTGCTTGTTGCTTTGACCAAAATCCCAAGGGGCATTCTCGGCATATGGACCTTTTCCAAGTGGTCAAGAYGGGGAATAACACAAGCTTTCCAAACCCACCCTTTAAACTTTTCCAGTTTCTCCAGGCATGGAGGCAAAGCGAAGTTGCCGTGAATATTCACTGAAGTCTACTCTGTAAAAAGATGCTTTGTGGTGTGTTTTCATGAGAACAATTAATTCTCACATCTTTTGCCTTCTATTCCTTGTTTTATGAACTTCTGACAACAGTTTAAAAGTACAACATCTAGTATCTGCTTTCAGATTCATTCTAAGAAAAATATGCCTTGCATGCTGACCTTTTTCCTGTTATCTCAGTATACCAAAAATTAAAATATGCATGGCAGCAATTGAAAAGTAAAGCTGAACAAACTATTTATTTGTTGTTGTAATTATTTAATGAGCTTTTATGTATGTTATTTTCCYTCCAAAATGTTCTTATGTTTATAGCTTTTCTCATGTATCAAAGTATTTTCCTATGATTTGTGGCTGGATTAGAATATACATTTTGTAGATAATGTAAAATAGATGTTTTAGCATTCTTGGTATATATATTTTCACTTTGAACATTTGTAGACTTAGGTGTTATTTTGAAGTAACAACTTTAAAATTTGATTTTTTTTCATGCTCCACTGTATTGGTTTTTYAAGTGTGCAATCAAAATACAGATATGACTTCCTTTCAAATTCATTGTTTTTTTTTTACAAAAATAAACACTTCAAAAAAATATTGTCTGCCTATGTATGAAAATTTTAATGAGTAAAAACACTGAGTCTTAAAAAAAGTAGGAGAACATTATATGGTTTAAAAAATCTAGCCATAACATTTAGCATAAAATAATCTTGCTGGGGATTCTTTTCGGCTGTAGAAATCTTATATGAATATTTAACACATGGTGCTTATAAATGACCCAAACCAAGATCATATTTAACAATTCTCAAATTGTCCATTGCAGAAGAAGGGTGTATTTGGGAAGTTTTGCAAGTTAGTAAAATAGCACTTTCCCCCGCCGCCATTAATGATCAAGTCAAACACTTTAACCTTCAGTTTAATCTTTCCCACAGAGCCAATAGAGTCCTGCACATTATCCACAGCTTATTATAGGATATATCAGGAAATACATAATAAGCAGTTTATCTTTCATCACATAGTGAAGGAATCATCTGTTCTTAATCGTTCAGACTATATTGAAATACTATGGGAAAGATTTCATTATGGCACTCTGCTGTTCTTAAATGATTGTCTTTTACACCCCACTGACACCCAAAGCAAAGATTATCCAAGGAGAATAATGAAAAACCTCATCTAATATCATGTGTCACGAGTTCTCTTTGATTTTCTTCTTGCTTTCTCATTACATCTTGCATTTTAATGGATTTAAAATGTTCATCACAAAGTTTTCGKCAGAAATCTTCCTTAGCTGTTAATGGAAAACTGTTTAAAAATTAGTAAAGGGATGCTACTGCTTGACTTAATGAGTTCTAAACTTTATCAACAAAATTTAAGCATTTTTTCCTTAAAGTGACTTTCAAGAGTTCTCTTAAAAATCTTAGAGCGTAAGGAGATAATGCATTTGCATTTTAACTCGATACACATGTTGGTACAGTTAACAAATACATTAATAATCCAGTTGTTTGAAGCTTAGTTCTGTGATCATGAACAACATCATCAGAATGATGAGAACAGAGATGAATTATACATAAACTCTCTGATCTGAGTAGCTTAAAAGATCCTTCCTTAAGCCTAAGAAGACATCAGAGAAATAAAGGAGTTAACAGGGAGAGACGCACTATGACGTTGCTCCCAGACATATCAACCCAATGAAGYTATAGAGAGCACAGCTTTAGACTTTACAGACACTATAGTCTCATTCAATCAGTTTTGTGATTATTCCCAATTGCTAAATAAATATCCAATTTTTAAATTGCTCTCTATTTCTTCACCATGAAAATGTACTAAAGATTGAGACAATAGACCAAAACTGATCTAAAATTTTATCCCAAACCCATAGTCACTACATTAGTAAGTTGGTCTGCGTGTTTAGTTTTTGACCCACAGGAGTAAGGATGGTGAAAAAAGGCACAAGCGTAACTCAGGACTCTTCTAAGGTTAGTGAAGTTTGACTGTAAAATCAATACACACATTCAGTAAGAGTCTGCACTCAGCAATATAGATACTAACTCTTTCCTATGTTGTCTACTCATGTAAAAACTCTTGTAGGAAAAAAATCAATACATTTTTATTAGGATGACTTCATGGAATTTTGCTGAACAAGCTACAGAAAGACCACAGACCCACCTCTACATCCGGTAGGTTTCAAGAAACATGAGGGAAGCCAGATCCTCCTAGTCCATTAGCAGTAATTTAACTTTCAAGTGTCACCCATGTTATCTGCTATCTCGTCCTTGGCAAACATTTGGACTTTTTGCATTACAGGAAGGCAGTTTTAGGAAGAGTCATGTTGACAAATTTTCTTAAGGGACAGTGTCACTCCTTGTCTCTCATCTCTCACCCTCAGTGCTTCAGTCTGCCTTCTCTTTCATCATGCTAYTCATAGGGGTCTATCCAAGGATCCAGACAAAAGGCAACTCAGACAATAGTACGAGTACACCCAGCTGCCTTTTGCTCTATGGAGAGTCTCCAGAATGTGAAATTGCAGTGGGTAGGACATGGGCCATTGTGCTCATACCTGCACTGCAGCATCTTGCCAAAGTTTATCAAAGATGCACAGAAAAAACAGTAGTACCTAATYCAAAATCGTGTGACATCTTCTTACACTGCTTGCTTCACAGTTAAAAAGGAAAAGCACATATGCTAGAATTTTCTTACATTTCACCTAAAGTATTAAAATGAACAGATAGGATAAGGATGTAAACATTTTGGAAAAGTACTAGCAGATTAGATCTTTTTTTTTTTTTTTTTTACATGAATTAGATCACTCCATAGTCTGGATTTATTACTTGGAGAGCATAGAATCTGGCCTTCTCAGTAATATCCTCATCTGTGGGCAAAGTGCTAAGTCCAGGGGGCCTCTTAAAAAGTTTTTCTCTGCAGTTTTTGTAACCTCATCCCACAATGTAGAATGAGCTCTTTCCTCTCATTACCTCTTTTTTCATGAGGAAACAAATACTTGTGTTTCAAAACAAAGGACAATATTCCCACTTTCACAAAATGTGGGTTTTCCACAATTCTAGAGTTGAGAAAAGGTTTTGCTTTTCTTTTTTCTTTTTTTTTTTTTTTTGCTTTTTATGAGCACTAATACCTACTTCTTTAGAAAATTAAGTGAGTAAATTAGAAGCAATCTGTTAATCTGCCATCTGCAGTCTGCTAATCACTGTTTCATTACTTTCCAAACGATGAAAATTGTTCTCAGCTCAGAGGTAATTTGTGTGTTTGTTGTAAGGAATGGAAATATTTTTTCTTAGACATCACTAGAAACAAACGTAGCCAGATGCTGGTATTTTTGATTGCTGGTATTTTTGATTGCACGGCGGCACTCGGAAGCGCGCTGTGGAGAGACAGTGATAGACACTACGTGTCATTAAAACATTATTGATTGCGGAAGTCAGAAGGGCCAGACACAGACTAGAAGAGAAAGGCACTTTGAAAAGTTTATTTATTCCGCTTTTTAGGAATAGTAACTAATTTGTTGTTCATCTCTCTTCAGTAGCCTTAGAATCAGAAGCACCTAACTCAAGTTCAGCCTTTTATTTCAAAATTAAGAAGACATTTGGATAACATCCTTCAAAATAACTAACAGATTTCTGCTAATAAATCACTGTAGTCTTCCTAACCTTGACCTTCATATCCTTCCTGAAGAAGCACAACATTAATCAAGTAAGGGCTGTTAAACACATTCCTGAGTTACTGTGGGAGTCATTTTGCTGCAGTATTAACCTGAAGGTGTTCAGCAGAAATTATAAGGAATCCTTACTGTTGGAAGGTATCCTATTCTTATGATGCATTTCCTTTCCCGTAGGCCAGGCAAGRGGCTTTGATTTTAATTTCATTGACACATATATAAACATAGCTTTGGGTTAAAACTGAAATTTCTCRAGAGATTTATGAGTTAAGCAGACATTCTGTCATTGGATTTGTTAGTTTTACCTGAACCTTGTCCTACAACAGAAAAAAGGGGAAAAAAAAGAAAAAAACCTGCCCGTGCATCTTTCTGAAAGACATCCAGCCTTTCCGATCACTCATGACATGAGTTATGTGGACTGACACCCCTAGAAAAGTGTGAGTCACACGTGGTAGTGCCAGCTAATACCCATATTAGTACTGTTAGTACTAATAGTAACTAACTGTTAGTACTGTTAGTACTTCCAAGGACACGAACACACTCTTCTGTGTTTAAGTTATGATGGCCAAATTACACACTTCATCAAAACCACARCTTTTTATTCCTATAATTGTTCAGAATAATAATCTACCAGAGGTTTTTTTTTTTTTTTTTAAATCTACTTTGTTTTGACTACATACCTACATAACACAGTGAACGAGGTAATATCACACTACATAGCTCTAGTGCAGCCTTAATGGCTCTGTACAACAGCACAGAAACACAGTGGACCTTTCAATGCAAATAAAAATCAGGTCTACTGACTTTCTTAGAGCTGTTTGTGGCACATGGTACTTTATGAAGTAAAGTCACATAACACTGACATAAGCGAAGATCAAAAAACCCAGATCAGTGGAAAAGAGGCCTAACTCAGAACGCATGGCAACTATAATATAGGTTTGTATACTAAATCTCAAAGACACTTGCTGTTAAAGTGATGTCTCTCAACATCTACTTAGTGTTAAGCAATAAATATTAAATGAAGTAACAATTTGCTGAATGCCTTGCCTAATTTCTTGTCCCTTTTGAATTCTGTTGCTTTATTCAGCAGTTGTGCAGCAGCATGTTATCATCTCCTTGTTAAAACCCTTAGCTGCTTTGAGCTGTATTTGCTACACTTTGCTGGTTTTTGGTCTAGGAATATTTTCAATTTCCTTTTAGTATGAATGGATGCATTATTTTTTGACTAAGAGGAAAAGTCATGCTCCGACTTGACCTAGGAGTTCCACATTTGATTTGTTTTGTTAGTCTTGGTGAGAAGAGACTTAGTGAGGAAATTGCAAAGAAACGCTGTAAAAGCATAAACCAGCTTGTGCAATCTGCTGCTTTGGTGGGCTAAGGAAGAGCTGGCCAGGCACATTCATTAAAGTTTTTACATGCAAGAGCAGAGCTGAGGGAGGGGGCCTAAGAAGAAAAGGAAGTTCTTGTCTAGCCCCACTACAGCAACGGCCCCCGAGAAATGGAGGGAGCGTGAAGAACTTGAAAAGGGACTGTGACATTTTTAACTGGTTTAATTGCAGCTGAAGCAAGTTTAAACATCTGTTGCTTGTTAGATTAGTATTTTTTATTTACTTATTTACTTATTCATTTACTTTTGGGATGGGTTGAAGAAAGCTCTTTTAGGTTCCATATGGTCACTGAGCTGGGGTAGAGAACAGAGGATTGTGTGTTTCTAAAATGCAAAGCTGCAAAAAGTTGGGTTTCAACAAGAGTCACTCACTTTCCTTTTTATTGAAAAAGCCTGCTGAAATTTTTACTTCTTTACTTTATTACAGTTTTTAGGATGGTAGCCAGGAGTGCTCACAGCAGCAGGGAACAGGTTGCATTGCTGCACTGTGTCTTTTTGTTTTCCCAGTCTTGAAATGTYGGAATTTGGGTGTGTCTAGCAGAGAGCAAAGGAGTGAAAACCATTCAAAAAAYGGAACCAAACAAAATGTGGAGAACATGTGCTGCATGCCCTCTGCTTTCTTGCGATCGCCGCAATCTTTCATGGACTACAAAAGACTTGTTCTGTCTACAGATCGCAAAGCCAAGCACGAGCCAATGCACGTGGTGCCCTGGGGTTTAACAGGCTGCCCGGCCTCGGTCAGCCCGTGGGTAACAGCTCCGGGCTGCCTGTGGCTTCCTCCCGGGCCGGGGCAGAGGGCAGYGTGTGCGTCACCTCTGGCTCCCACCCAGCGCTGGGGCTCTGCAATCTGGCATCTTCACAGAACCTCCTGTGTCACTGCGCTGGTCACAGCCTCTTGCCGGTGGCCACGTCTGCTCTTTCGGGAAGAGGAACRTAGCGGAGCCCGAGGCTGTTCACACAGGAGCTTCTCAGGAAGGTGTCAAACTTCTATGCAAAGAAACAGCTCAAATAAAAAACCTATCAGTAGAAGGTTTCCCACTCAGCGTTACTCTTATAAATTTACTCTAATTTGATTTACTGAACGAGACTTAAAAATACATTTAGTGAATTATTCATAAATTCTCTTAGGTATTCTGCAAATATTGTCATCTTACTTTCTCTTGAGCTTTTTGTAATGAGTTTTGCAGCTTGATRCTTCTGCCAAAAGAAAAATGTTTGTAACATCCTCTGCCAAGAGAAAATATTMATAAAGATTGACATTTTTGTTCAATTAAATACTTTTCTTGTTACATAAAATCCTACTTATATGGACCACTCAAGCAGCTGTCTGAATCTTGCTTAATAGTTAATTTTTCATGACMTTTTTAAACCTACTCAAATACCACAGACCCTAACAAATCTGCCAGCTTCTGCCCTCCACCTTAAAATTTCTGACTCACAAAATCTACAACAAAAGTTTTCCTTCCCCTGCTGCCTCAATGGCCATATTGTTTACTTTCCAGTAGCTGGGCTACCTGTTCCACAATTCTGTTTTGATACAGGAAACTGCACCACTTAGTCCATTTTTTGCACCACTTGGTCCATTTTTCTGAAGTGTTCAGTGCTGCAGGAAAACTGAATGTACGTGGAAGCACAAACGAACAGCTAAGCACCAGGGAGAATCTTTAAATGTAAAATAAGTGGGACTGGATTACTCAGAAAAATAGTAACAGAGCATTTTTCATTAAGTAATTGGTTTGGATGAGTATGTTGGCAACCAGTTAACCTTTGATGGTTGCTCAGTGGTGTATGTTAAGTAGGCTCCGTCTCTATATAATTGCTGGATGACAGGTAGCCACATTGCTGCAATTGGGAAAAATCTCCAACGCTGATCTTCCCAAAACTGAGCAGGATCAAAGGAGTGACCCTTTCCAATACGCCACCTGCGCGTTAGGACTGGGTAAGTCAGCAAAAGAGGAGGCCAAGGATTCGGATGGGAATATTGTGCAAGCTGTGTCTTTTAGTATTTAGGGACTATCTTCCTGAGTATTTTGCTTACCATAAAATAACTACTTAAAAAAGAAAAAAAAAAATTCACAAATTCTTAACCTCAACAAATAGCCTCAACAAGGGAGTCTGTTTTTTAAGGTACCTTCCTCACAGCCTGCCAAAAAAAAGGTTAAAATGTAACATTAAAAAAGTGAAAAGGAGAAAAAAACCCACTTCCACAAGATTGTTTTATGTATACCATACATTTAACCAGTGCACATAACCAGCGCAAAGTCCAGTTTTTGCGCTGTTTCTTGCCATAGCTGAGGTAATTATAGTTGTTGAAGGCACAGCCAGAACTTGTGTTCATTTGTTAAATAAAACCTCACAGGGATGGAAGCTGGAATCCCTCCTGGATGACCTCTGGCAAAGCCAGTGGCTTCTCCTCATCTCACGTTCCTCACACGTGGAACGAAGGGAGGCCTCTCGTGGCGCTAGGGGCTCGGACAACACGRGCACGAAGCGGCGCTGTCAGTGCAGTAACAGGCAGGGAGGCCTGTGCTCCTGCAGGCTCTTGCACACCAAGCCTGCAGATTTTGACACGTGTTATTTGATGCTCTCCATCACCAACTTTTATGAATAGTTTCACACCCTCTCACAAGCATTTCATGGAGGTAACACAGAGCACTGTAAAGCAATAAAATAAGGCATGATAACAGGCACACATCGTATTTAGAACAAACAAACAAACAGAGCCGTGAAAACCTCACCTCTATTCCAAATCTAGAATCAACTGCTGATTCCCTACTCCTCCCCTACATTGTTCTATATTGTTGGCATTTGTGGCTACATACCATATATTTAACCAACTCTATAGGCTCTCTCTTTGAGTTGTTACGATAAAAGAAACTTTCCTTGGAGCCTTTCCTCCAGTTTCTCCAGTTCAGGAGGGAAGTCAGAAGAGAACAAGTTAAGCACTTCTGTATTTAACAAGATGATGGGGCCAGATCCTAGCGAGAGGGATCAGTGGTTAAGTCACAGTGTTGGTAGAGAGCAGCCTCTGGAATTCTGTCCAACTTCCAYAGTCCTCAATTTGAATCAGGGTCACCAGAAAGCACTTTCACACAGTCATACACTCCAAAACACAATTCCTAGAAATGCAAACAATAAATGGTGATTCTAAAGCCCAGAAGATGGGCCTACTTCAGCTTGGCATTATTAGCATCTGACCACGACGTCCAGGAACCACAACCTCTCCCCTGGAGCTAAATGTTTAAGAGTTGAGTCCACCTTGTCTCATGAAAAACTGTATGAGGCTTTCACCTAATCACCTACTTGTCACAGCACTTCTCAAAGTGGTAGGAAACTTCCTCCAGGTCCTCAATATTCCTGAATTGTACAAGAACTCTTGCAGTCAGGGACTCTTACTCTYGTGAATTATCAGTTTAGATATGGTGGGATAATTCTCTCAAAGTTCTTCTACTTTGCATACACAAATTCCTCTTGAACTAACTTTCCATATCCCAGGGAGATATCCAAAAGTATTGGAGAGCAGTCAAAGGATAAACACTCCGGCAAGAATGCAACCTTGTAGGTGGAGATTTTAAAACATGTGTCAAATGGGATATGAAGTCACTGCCAATTTTCCATCCAGCACTTGCACAGAACATAAGCAAGATGGTTTTTGGTGGATTCAGTGTTCAACCTCTAGAAGAAATTTAAGTTATCCACCAGAACCATGTAAAACAATGCTGAAGGTGTGACATAAAACACACTTAATACAATAGGTGAAACTCAACATATGTTTTTCAACACTTGYAACAATGATGTGCTAGTATGAAAAAAATCCATGCAGAGAAATGCGGTTCAGAGATCAGATTTCCTTTGCATTTATAACAATCATATTCTTTAATTATCCTTCAACTATTAGAAATTTAAAAATAATGGAGCACTTCTAACACATCAACTCAATTTAGAACCCATTACGCCATTTTGTCAAATCATACTCAAAAAATACTTTTTGGGAATGGGTTATGCAAAATGAAGCCAACAGCATTTATAATTCTCTTTAGGGATCTGATCGACAGGTGATGYTATATACAGTGTGTATGAAGCCTATAAGTGTCCTTTGATATAGATAGGCAGCCTAACTATTCATATCATTTAAGTTATGCATGTGTATATCTCCTTGCTGAATAAAAGCTATTTTGAGCTCAAAGTCACATAGCGGTAGGAGCGAATCACCAGTAGAAGAGTTTATATAAACACTCCACACGTTTACAGYGTTTTTAACCAAAGAATAAAGCAAAAACCAAATAAAACCAAASGACAAGACATGAACCCTTCACAATGTCATTAGCAAAAATATGTTAATATGAAATAAGATTTCCCCGAATTAGTTAATTATGATTTGGAGGGAAAACAAATTTYGTTTTTTTCAGCATTCCATTGTCTATTGCACTGCCTCAAGCCCTATGTTCCTGGGGCATTTTACTGACTTGGGGCCCATTGTCACCACAGAGTAAGTGCTCTGAGACTGCTGCTGTGCAGCTAAGACTGAGGCAGCCAAGGAGCAAGTTGGTCCAAAASAGCCACCAAGTGCAGATGAGGTTTCAACTGCAAGCAACAAATAAAAGATTGYGAAGATCATAAAAGATGACTTTGACTGTACTACTTCTTCTAGTGATCAACCAGGTTTGGAACAAATTGCCTGGAAGAAGATGCCTACCTATATTGAGGCTTTCCAAGCTCTTTAGACATGCAAAGAATCTGTGACTGCCTCTGTAAGAATGACTTCAACAATTACACACAGTTATTGGTGACATAAAGAAAGGCAAGCAACTATTACATAAACAGAAAATGCCTCTTTTTAAAATGAACAGAAATTTTATTCGTAAAGTTAGAGCTCTAGGTACTCATGGTTTGCCACAACTAAGGTAATAACTGTTACCTATCTGGATAAATGCAGCAAAACACAAGTCTGCTGGCAGGTCCAGGCCAGAAGCCTGCATCACTGCTCAGAATGCTGCACATCTCATGTCAGCTGCAAGAAGGAGTCACACAACATAAACACTTTTAATTTTATTTTGCCTTCTATAAATCTTGTTTTTCCACAGTAGGAAGTATTGGATTTTTTTTTCGTAATTTTGTTTTATTATTCACTTTAATTTGCCAACTATTACTTGATTGTATGTACTTCACTTGAAGCGCACAGTGGGGAACCTCACTGCTGACCAAGGCAGGGTGCTTTCATGTTATGTTACCTGCATTAGAACAAAAATCTCTCCGGAGCACAGAAAACAGAAAAGACTCAAAAAACAATCAGCCAATTTCTCAGTTAATTTATACCACGTCTAACAGAAGATTCAACTACAATTTTTAATTAAAATATTTAACTGCTTCACTTATTTCCTACAAGAAGCTTTTAGCACAATTTTTACTGCACCAATAACCTAATGTTCCTTGAAAACACTGTTAGGAGTTTCAGTCATAGAAAGAGATCATTTTTTCTTGTCAGTTAATTTCCCAGGTGAATTTCATTTTTGTAATTTGATTCCAATTTGTACATATCTTCTTTCTTCAATTAAAAGCAAAACTTTTCATTTCAAACATATGATTGGCATATTTACTGCGTAATTGCAAACTAACAGTGTGGTTTCAGATGTTATAGCCCTGCACAGAAATGATGGATTAACCTGTTCTTTACTTGCTTTGAGGCAAAAATGTTGCCTCGGGCCTTCTTCAACTAATCAAAAAAGGGTGCAAAATTGGTCTCACACTATTTTTGAATTCATTTTTAGCCCACTTCAGATGTTTATATATGTATTTACTGTATTGGATGCACTAACCAAATGATTATATTATTTCAATAGAAAATATAACATGGAGAGAAACTTAAGCAAATTTTTTACTATGGAAATTTTGGTTTATTGAAATTTTGGTTTATCAATATATTTTGGTTATTTCGGCTTATATCTCTTTACTATAAACACGAATACTATACAGATGTAATAAACATGAACATTGTTTTCTTAGCTCATACTAAGACACAGCATAAATTGATAATAATATTAAATATGTTCTTCCTCCTGTGTCATTGCCTAAGAAAATACAAAGTAAGATGTGAAATAGCAGTAACAGGCTCAATCTAACCAAAGCTCCAGTAATCCTACATATGGAAGAGCTAACAGGTGCTATCAGCACGACTCAGAGTACTGATACCGGATCACACACACATCAGAGGCAACTTTTGGAGCAAAACTCCCTCTCCGACACCCTATCAACTACTGTATTTAGCATTTCTTTCTTGTTCACTTGGTTAAGAGATTGCACCTACAGGACATGCTCTTTCCCATGTGATTCCTGGAGCCAACATAAAGCGGGGAAAAAGGTGGCTTGTTATCACTAGAGTTATTTCTACACTAAAAATTTGAAAGGTGGAAGAGGGTTTTTATACTAGAGAGGTTTGTTTAAAAACATACACATTTGGGGATACACACATAAAGCCTTGTCCTGCACAAATTTCCTGTGTGATCTCTGGCAATTCAGTTAAATCACACAGGCACAGAAGTGCGACTTCCTCATCACATACATCTACTTAGGAATACATAGAGGCACCAAAGACTGTGGTAGTGGGGAAGAAGCGCAAACCCAGGAAGCCAAGAACGGGAATGTAGGCCTGAGGGGAGCACGAGTGCATGGAGACACCTGGGACCGATGCATCCCAGGTCCCAGGTGTACAGTTTTAATGCCAGCAACCTATTTTATTTTATTTTATTTTATTTTATTTTATTTTATTTTATTTTATTTTATTTTATTTTATTTTATTTTATTTTATTTTTTTTCTGTGACAGATGTATGCCAGTAAAGCAGCCCAGCTGTGACACCACAGGCTTCCTCCCATGGTGGCTTTTAGGTGAGGCCACCTCAGCAAAGCCACCATGGACGTTCTGCTTAGGTTCCTCTTAGCAGAGCGAGCAGGAACATGAAAAGTTCTAAATAACCTGGATTTGCAGAAATATCTATACCAAAAAAAAAAAAAAAAAAAAAAAAAAACAAACTGCAGCGAGATCATTTTCTTTGTGAAACCAAAAGTGACTTTGGTCACTTTCGGCCAGCCCCTGGATATGGCACGTTTTTTGTTCCCAAATAACGCCCTAGGTGCGTTGGCCCGGCGGAGCCCATGGGGAATAACGGGCGGGGCACCGCGCTCCCCGCGAGGGCGCCCAACGGCCCCCGCAGTCGGGAGCGGGCACGCGCGGATCGCGCATGCGCCGCGGAGAGCGCGCCCCCCCCCCCGCACCCCCCCTTTTAAAGGGCCAACGGCCGCTCCTTCCTCTCGCGTCCGTTTTGTCGTTGTAGAGGGGTGTCCTGTCCGTAGTGCGGGCGGGCGCTGCAAACACCCCTGGGGGGCTCGGTGCGGAGGGGGCGACGCGCGAGGCCAGGTTCCTGTCAGGGAGGGGCGCGGGATTCCATGGATCGCGGGCCTCGGCGGGCAGATAGAGCGGGCGGGAGGGCGGCTGCGCCGCGGCGGCCGCTGGGGGAGGGCGGCGGCGCCG